AATGACATCCCCTATACTTTATCCAAAAAAAAAACAATGACATCCCCTATGACCCCGCTAATCCAAGTAGGTCAAGAATTTCTAGATCCATGATTCATCAAGATTATGATGTAAATATTCTAATGGACGAGAATTGATTGATGCTAAGAGAGTCACTTGACTAAGTTGTCGAAGCAAACCACTTGTTAGAAAAACATATAGCATCTATAACTTTGAAAGGACATAGTGACACACACCACCAAATTCTCTTGGTAGCTCCATGCAGCTCCCATTTCTAAGCAGTAAAGATCCTCCCATGTCTTTTTGCATCAACCATTACGCTAATCCAGTGATTTAAAACTCTGACTAATGTGGGGACTCACCGATGTCTTGAACCCAAGTCAGCATTCCTACTTAGTCTAGTCTATAAAAATAACAATGTAGGTCCCTGAACGGATGAAACTCAACCGTGTCTCCAATTTCAGAACTGGACCTAGCACCTTGTCAGGTCTAAGTGACTGGACGAGTCCGAGCCCAAGTCACTAAGCTTATTCACTGCACGAGTCAAAGGCATATTCAATACATCTTCTATGCAAATATCTTCTTGTTGCAAGCAATACTTTACAAATTTAAATTTCTGTATAATTTATGATGAAATAGATTTCCATAAAAGCCATGAATCATTGAGTGTCAGTAAATTAATTAAAATAAAGTAAAATAAAAACTTCCTTATTACACCCTCCTCGCTGAAGAAAATAACTAACTTCTTCAATCCCCAATGGTACTCCTCTTTCTACCATTCAATATCACGTACAAAGAGCTAAATATTCATTACAATACTTTGGAAGGTGTGTATCACACCAGGAAGCAGAGGAAATAATCATTATTTCCTAGTCCACCCTCTAGAAGTAATCACTATACCCATTGTTTCAAAAATCAGCCACTAAGAACCTAGACGGGCGGGCAAGGGCGCTAGGCTCATCATTGACTAGGTGGCTGCCTAGGGTGGAGGGGCCCAAGGCACTCGTCTGGGTGGCCAAGGTGTCATCTATGCAGGTGCCTTGGTGTCATTTCTCCATCTTCCTCAATCACTTCGCCTTCGCCTTGGCAAGACCTCAGTCCTCCTTTTCTTATTCTTCTTCCTCTTCTTCTTCTTCTTCTCATGCTTTTGTCATCAAACACATGGAGAATGTTCTCTCTCTGCATGTGCGTACGTGTACACATACACCCCAAGTCCCCCATACACATCATACATATTAATATACAACTACTCCCCCCCCCCCCAACCCCGCCTCTCTTTTCTTTTCTTCTTGTCGGCTCGATGATACCATACTCAATATGAGAATAGAGTCATGTGTGAAGATCATTCCCAAACCAATAGAATTTTTTTTTTTTGATAATGTCAAACCCAATAGAAATTATCTATCAACTTTGGCCCCCTGCCAAAAAAAAAAAAAATCCCTTGTTCTCTTTCCTTCTTGTTGGGTGGATGATACCAAAGCTCAATATGAGAATAGAGTCATAAGTGAAGCTCATTCCCAGCAGTCAAACCCAATAGAAATTATCTACCTTGGGCTTATTATGGAAAATCTCCAAGGCACTGGTATGCTTAATATTTGAAGGTCTCCATATCAAGTGGATGGAGATCTGCAGTCCCCTCCTAGCCCTTTTACTCCAATAAAAGTTATTTGATGGCCCAGGCCATTTATTGACATGTTTAAACTTAAAACTTTGATGAATACTCATCCCAGGTCTAACAAAGATTAGAGGTATTATTTGGAATTCTTTGGGAAGGAAATTAATGTCATTTTACAGTTCTCTAGGAACTTATGATGCGACTAAGCCAAGGTAAAAAACTTGATACATGTGTTAGAATTGATATAAGTGTTATAAGATGCACTTTGCAACTCCATGCTATTTTTCACTATGCAGTTCAATGCCTCCAAGGTTCAAAAATTCAGCCGTGGCCAGGCTTTAAAAACGGCTAGGCGTGCCCTAGGTAGACACCCTAGGAAGAGGTGCCTCTAGGTGCCCACATAGGCGGCACCCTGCCCGCCTAGGCGGGTGCCTAGCACCTTGGCCAAGGCTCACACCTCCCTTCATAGTAGCATATAATAGGGGGAGCTATCATTAGTAAACATTTAAAAAAAAAAAAATTAACTAAGCATTAGTAGCTTAGTTGGTTATAAAAACAGCTCCCCTATGATAGATTGAGGGCTCGAACCCCCCAGCTTTGCTCTTTTTCGAGTTGTTTTTCCTTAACAGCCTTTTTTAAGGTTAAAACAAAAAAATAGTGGGGAATTTGAACCCCAGACCTTGCACTTCGAAAACAGCATGGTCTAACCAAAATGATGCTCAAGCGCTTTTGACAATAAATTTACATATATAACTTACATACTATATTTTGCTTTTGTTTTTCTTTTTTTCAATTTTTTTGGATCGTCGATCCAAACAATATGTGGATCACTGATTTGGTCAATCCAGATCGGGATCGGTAGGTGGGCGATCCACCCCCACCAATCCGTTTTTTAAACACTACCTCACATCAACGTTTTAGAAAACGGATCGATGGGGTGGATTGTCCACCCACTGATCCCGATCTAGATCGGCCGAATCGGCGATCCAAATTGCCCAAATCAGCAATCCGAAAAAATTAGAAGACAAAAAACAAAAACCAAGAAAAGAAAGTATATAAAATTTATACATGTAACAAAGGATTTATAAGTACCTAAACACTATTTTGGCTAAACCACGTGCCTCTAAAGTGCAATGTCGGGGGTTCAAATTGCCTGCTATTTTTTAAAAAAAAACTTTAAAAAAATGGTTCTTAAAAAGCAGAGCTTTTTTAAAGAGCACCACTCAGAGTTCAAACCAAAAATCTATAATATGGGAATTGAACATGATAACCAACCTGCTACATCTTAGCTGTCTTATAATTAGATATTATATGTAATATAGCACTTGAATCGAAACTATGCACTTGAGAAAAAAAACATGGCACTAGGGAGGTTCAAACCTCAAACATGTGGAAAATACCTGCAGATGATAACCAACCATGACAATCAACATTAATTGCTTTACAGGACACATTTAGTACATACATTAATCGAAGCATCAATTCCGACCAAAAACCAACACGGTCTTCTCAATCCGGATCAGTGATCTTTTAAACGCCACATTATGCTATCAGAGAGTCACGGTGACAGAGCCCTATTCTTTGGCAGGTAGCTGTTTATATGGTGGATGTGGCTGAACTTTATAAAGAATTGGCAAATCCTATGAGAGAATAATGAACAAGGAAGCTACAAGATTGGAAAATATAGGCAAAGGACTAGCTTCTTTAAGGGTTTTTTTTCTTAGCACCTCCCAAATGCCCTCCTGTCATCTCTCAGTCCTGTCATCTCTCAGTCTTGTATCAGCAGACAGCACAGAACACGCTATGCTAGAGATTTCACCATTTTAAAATGTCTATGGTGCACACAACTACTAATGGATGTAACACCACAAAAGAGGAAAATGCTGAGATGACAAAATAAAGCAGTTGTGAAGCACAAATAATAAGACAGAGCCACTTATCCAAGAGACTGATGGGGAGACACTGCCAAATGGCTATATCATGCATGGTCAAACCTAGATACTCAATATTCAGAATGCCTAAATACTTCAAAGGTACTAAATTTCGTTCCTAAAAGCTGTACAAGCCATGAAAGCATACATCAAGATATTGAAAATACTAAAATAAAATGACAATAATGATGATGATATACACCACATCAATCGCCATAATAATTACCAGAACAATTTTAAAAAAAAAAAAAAACAACCAAGAATCCTTTCAATCGCAAAAACAGGGCCCTTTTGGTGATTCTATTCAAATTTTTCACTAAATCCACCCAATTGTATGACAATGATCTAAGACACCCAACTTCAGGTGCTGTTTCTTCAATTCTTCATCCAATGGGGCACCATTTAAGCCCTCAGTGGCACCATATAAGACCCCAGATTTTCTAACACAAGCAACCAAGAATGAAGGAGCATTGCAAAAACCAAACCAAATGCGTCACTGAAAAGTACAAGGATGAACAAAATCCACATAGCAGCAGAGTTCGTTGAATCATCAAACATTTTTGGTAACCAATAATGACAATGGAGCATGACTACAGATGGCAAAAAGTTAGCCATAAGTCCATTTACTAGGCTCCAAATAATCTCTAGAATAATTGGAGAATTAATTATTTCACAAAAGCGACCCATCAGAATTACTCAACTTAAAAAGAACATCGTTCCCATTTATCTCACAGATCTATCATGTCCATGCATACAACCCCACAACTAAATCAATTAATCCATATTGATCTGATAACCAAACCACTTACTATATCAAAAAGTAAACAAGTTAAACCAAATTGCAAAACCTAAATCCACAGAGAGAACCAGTCAACTAACGATCAAACTGAACAGAGCTTAAAGAGCCGTAACCCATAGGCCCATACTTTCTAATGGTATCCTATAAAAAGCAGGAAAAACATGGATTTTGTAAGACCTAAGTGCCAAAACTAACATCACTGGCGAAAATTTCCTGATCCAGGAAGCAAATCTCAAAATTATTAGCCCTAAATCTCAATCTGCAAAAAAAAAGCACAATTGTTGTGGATCACATGGTTACCAATCATAAAACCACAAGGATTGAGAGATCGAGAGTTGTTTACACCCAAAATCCCAAAAACCAGATGAAATGGAACAAGAAACCATGGATCCCGGTAAATAGAAACCACCGAAGAGAAGATCAAGCAATAGTAAACTGTAATTCCAAAAACACACAAAAACTAACCACTCCAGACATCAAAAAACAGAAAAAGAAAAAAAAAAAAAAGGATTCCACATCTATCCACAAATCATGATAAAACAATAATCAACAAAGACAGTAGGAAAAAAGAACTTCCAAAAAGAATGAAACAAACAAAAAAGCCAAATTAACATGAAACAGAGAAAACAATTAAAATAAATAATTGAATACATACCGTCTCCATTCACGAAGCATGAAACCCTCATCTGGTTGCATCTCACTGGGAGGAGGCAACACAGGCCCATCAGATACAAATACATCATCCAAATGGTCATTCCCATAGTGAGCCGTCCCATTTGAGTCAGATACAGGCGAGAAATCAGGGAATTCAGCTTGTTGATGACCAGGAAAACCATAGATCGGTGCTGGAGGAGACTGGTTTTCTGGCAAATTTGGTGAGGGGAAATCGTCTTCGTTGAAGCTCTGGTAAACTGGAGGTGGCTCCTCATGTTCAATCTGAAGGTCCTTTGAATCCTCTGTGAAATTTGAGAACGAATCGAATCTCTGAGAAGGGAGGCGAGGATCATAGCCTAGGTAGCCATCGTCATCAAAAGGGCGAGAAGCATTGGTTCTGGGATCCTCTCCATCTGTGCTGAATGTATCAAAGCCCGCCATTTTTCTCTCTAGATTTCTTCCTTTTCTAGATATCCCCCTCTCTCTCTCTAGGTTCCCTCTCTCCCAGTTGGTTTCTCTCTATGATCTCTCTCGCTTGGCCCTGGTCTATGCCTCTCTCCCAGTTGGTTTCTCTCTCTATTCGTCCCCTCCCTCTCTCTCTCTAGAAATGCAGGGGGGTTGAGAGGCGCCGGGAGAAAAAGTGCAGGGGTTAAGCGCAATGAAATTCACCCGACTCTTGCTTTTATAGAGTTAGTGACCTTTTGCTGGTTCTTCCACTCCCTGTTCTCTCTCCTCTTCTTCGTCTTCTCTCTTGTTTCTCTCTCTAGCTTATTACGGGCTAGTGGCCATTGTCAACTCCGGCAAGGAGCACCCCCAAAATTTATTAGAAGATGTTTTAGTATTGAAATTTGCAAAAGAAGTTTACATAAGGTTGAACCTTAAAATGTAGAATCAAAGAGTCACCAAAAAAAATTCATCATAAAAAGTTATTTGGATTTTGGAAAACCCTCTAATTGATCATTTCAACGTCTAGATATATGAATATAAAAAGAAAAAAAGATTTCAAGTTTGTAAAATAATGTATCTAGTAATACATTATCTTGACCGTTCATTTTCAATATTTTTATGTGCTTTTAGATATACTTAATTTAAATTATTTTTTTAAGTTTAAAAGTTTATAATTAGAGATGAAAATAATTTTTCAAGCCATCCTAATAATTTTTTATATCAAATTTGTATTTAAGATCAAATTTAGTGCTGCACCTTAATTGGATCGTTTAACCTTGTAACATTATACAAATCACACCCTTGAAATTTTATGTGAGCCTCAACATTTTTAAATGATAGAGTAGATCTAAAAATGTTTTAATAACTTTTTTAAAAAAATAGACCATCTAAATAACTTATTACAATATGTACTACTTTTATAACTCAAAATTAATTTTTTTCGTATCCACACATCTTGAAGTCAAGATATCAATTGGAAGGTTTTCTAACTTGGAAGTATTCTTTCGTAGTCACCTTACTTCTAGTATAAGGTTACAACCTTATATAGACTTTTTTTTTTATATAAAAATTCTACCTTGTATTACGTTTTTCTATTGTAGAAAAATTTATAGGATATTTCTATTTTATTTTCAATATTTAAAAATAATTATATATATTTCATATTTTACACTCAAGTTCTTTTTAAAACAATAAAGCATAAAAAATTATTCTTTTTTTTTATTCAGCAAATTAAGCTCGAATTTAGTATGTATGTACTTCTTACAGTCAACACCTATAACAAAATTTAAAAATACAATATAAAATCATAAGATAACCAAAATATCCTTATGATATTCACAAATATTTACGTAATTTTATTTTTAAAGTTATTTTAAAAATAATTTGTACAAGTGTGTGATAATGAGAAATATGAGACATCCAATTTGAGCTTTTTCCCATGTCTGGACAAAAGGATAGAATTAAAATACGTTCTATGCTAACAAAAAATAAGACTTCGAGTATAAAATATGAAATATACATGACTGTTTTCAAAAATAAAATAAAATGTAAATCTACTTGTATTTTTATCTTTTATTTTTCTAAAGATACTTCCACTATGTATGAAGTCGAGCATTGTATCAAAATTGGCTTCAAACCTCAACCTTCGATAGATGAAGCAAAAGACTCCAAATAATTTGAAGTCTGCCCTGAAATAACTACCAAGTCAAAACAAATTTTTAAAAGTCATTGGTTTTGGATATTGAAGATCTAACGACATAGTTGAAGAAAATAAATAAATATTTTCGATCCGTCATGATATAAGTTATTACTTTGGATCTCAATGGTCTAGAGTTGGGGCAATTTGAAAAAAAATGGAAAGAGTAAAGGATATGAACACAAAATACAACCTCTTTGGCCTTTTTTTAAAGTCAAATTTAAGGGACATGAGCACAAAATTCCCAATTGTGAAAAATAACATTAAAGTGGATGAAACCGCTTACAAAATCATTAGAGGGGCCAAATTATCTATATTAATATTTTCGGTATATTTTCATTTTTTATTTGAGATACATTTTTCCTTTCTCATTCGATTGGATGCCTCTAAAAAATTTAAAATACCCAAATTACTCTTGTTTGATTTTTGAATGCGGGAGAATCATGGACATCTTTGTAAACAAACCCCTAAGACGCCTTAAGAAAATAATCAAAATACCTCTACAACATACTCTTGGATTGGGTTTTGTCCGAGGGAGTATATGGGCAGCATGCTCCCCTGGGAATGAAGAGCCCAACAACCAAGCTAATAGCCAAACCAAAAGCCTTATACATCTCACCTACACATGGAAACTACAAGGCAACGGGGAACATCAAATTGGGGACCATATATGGGGAAATGTAAGATAAGGGAGGCATAAATTTGGAAATCAGCCCTAGTTTTTCTTTTAATTTTTTTTTATAGAGTAATATCCTATGAGACTCTCCCACACCTATGTGTGTAGGACCCGAAATGATCACCATTAAATTTAGCATAGATCTCTAAAAAAGTTATCATATTGGTGTAGGACTTTATTTTTTTAAATATCTGTGCCAAATTTAATGGTAATCATTTGGGGTCCTACATACCTGGGTGTAAGAGGGTCTCATGGGATTATTACTCTTTTTTATATTGAGATGCAAAAGTGCTTTTGCTTAAGCTATTGTTGAATTAAATTTTATCAACCAATAAGCATAAAATAAAAAGTCTTAACATGAAATTGAAAAGTATAAGTTTGGCAAACCTGTGATTGCTTAGAGAGTATATTGAAATGGACCTGGAGCATGTTAAGTCTGACTGTGAGTGAAAGGGGGGTGATTTGTTGAGAAAAAATTGCAGATAATTCAAGAATATTCTTGTTTCGAGGCAGATAACGTAGAACCAAGAAACCAATTTATCAATGTAGAACCAAGAAACCAATTTATCTCTATAGAATAAAAAATACTTTTAAACAATGTGTATAAAACATAATAAAGAAAAAAAAACTTCGATTATTATAGATATGTATTATTACAAGAGAAATATAAGGACTTTAAAGTTTGGAAGAGAGAGGGCCTAAAGGCTTTGAGAGTGATAAGGGCTTTAGAGTCTTGAAGGGCCATTGTTCCTCTCTAGCACCTAGCACCTGGGTCATTCACAATTCACCCAAATACTGATCAATGGGTACAAGCAAAAGAAGACGAGGAAAAACTCAACATATGATCTCAACTTCAAAAATATTGTTGGAGATTGATGTTTAGATACTGGGAATATATCAAATTGATCATCTCGACCTCAGCAATCATGTTTATGAAAAATAAATAAAAAAATCCTTGATATCGCAAGGATTAAGAGCTCTCCATTTTAAATATTCACAAATTATTTTGAACTATACTAGTTTGGAGCTTGAAAAATTATAATAGAGGGCGGGACATAATTTCAGACTATCAAAAGGACTTGGAACACCAAAATTGAATTTGAGGTGCAATTTTATTTCTTAAAAAAATGGTTAGGCTTATCGATGTTCACCAACAAAAGAAAAGGTCGAGTGAGAGACAAAGCACGCATGCACTTTATCATAGGCATGTCAAATTGGGTCGGGTCAATCGGACACCTTCCCAGTCTATTCTTTAGACCTAGTAGGTCAGGCCTAGGGTCCAAAAATATGGACTCGAGAGTTGGGTCGGGTTTTTTTGTCTATACCTAATACGGTCGGGTCGGGCCGTACTTGACATGTTATTTTATAGATAAAAACTTGCTCTTTATATTGTAAAATATAAATGTACTTTTTGAAAAAAATTTGTAGGTGTATTTGTTTCTGGAAAGGCGTAGCTTAGGAAGCTGCTTCTTTTAAGGGAACCGGAAGCAGCCGCTTCCCCGGTCCCCATGGAAGCCACTGCTTCTACCATGGAACCCACTCCCCAATTGAAGCTGCTGCTTCCACTTTCTAATGTCATTTTTTAACACCGAAGGAAGCTATGGCTTCCAAATTGTGTAGCACTTGCCCTATAGGGGCATTTTTTTCATGGAAGAGGAGCTTCCAAAGCCCCATATTCCAGACACTTTGGAAGCATGGGCCTCCAAAACATATTTTTGACGTTAGCTACACTGCAATAGTAATGGAAACTACGGCTGCCCATGAGCAAACGCTTCTGATGTATTTGACCCATACCTTACCATATAGCTAACATGTTGGGTTTGGGTATGGGACTGATCAATCTGGTGATGACCCAAATCCACACCATTTCCACTCTTATCCATTGTTTACAAAATTGTCCGATCTAACCGTTAGCTGGGGGGTTAGATCGGAATCGGTCAGTGGCCGGTTTTGGTTTTTGAGCGATTAGGGTGATCAACCGGTATTTAAAAAAAAAAAAAAAATGTATATAGATTCTAAAAAATAAGGAATTTGTTTTGTAATATATTTTTAAATATTATTTAAATTACGGTGAAGATTAAAAATTGTTTTGATCATTGATACTCACTTTTATATTTTTTTAAAAATGTTAAAAATAGCCCTTAAAATTATAAAATGAGTTAAAATCTATTTTTTTCATTAATTTTCAACTTTATTTGAATGTGTTTTGTTTTAATCTTTATTTATATGTTTTTCATATTTTAGTGGATTTTTTTTATTTTTTATTTATTTTTTAACACTTTTTTGACCTCATAGAACTTGTTCGGTTAGAACGGTTGAATCGGCCAGTTTATCGATTAAACCAGTTAAACCGCTCGCAGGCCATGTCTTATTATCTTTTCGGGTTCAATTTTACCAACACTGCTCGTATCTTCACACACAAAAGAGGGAGATTGCACGTGCATATTATCACATTAGAGAACGTTAGAGAGGGCACACGAGCGCCTTATCAGAGGGATCACACGTGCTTCTTACGATGCGAGTTCACGCGCGCGAGTTTTTTGTGATCGAAATGAAAGCGGGAATCGCAGTGGGGCATGCGGGAGATTTTTGCGCCGGTTGTGAAACAACGCATTTCTCTCTCTATAAACCCCTTTCTCTCTCTATTACTCTATAAATACCTTTCCCCTCTTCTCCGTTCCTACATTTGAATCCCCCTCTCTCTCTCTCTATTCTCTCTCTCTCAGCTCAACTGTGTTGTTGAGCAAAAGAAGAAGGGGGCAAATAGCAGCAAGACTGCCACACCTCTCTCTCTCTTACATTTTCTTTCACTCTCTCGCCCTTGTCCTTCTCATCTTTTTGTTTCTCTCTCTAGGCCTCTGGAAGCCCAGGGTACCCCTTCCCCTTTTATCCTCTCTCTCTATCTATCTTTATCTCTCCCACACTCTTCCCCCCCTCTCTCTCTCTCTCTCTCTCTTCTCTTTGTTGCGGCTTCCCTTTCTCAGTCTTTCTAATTACAATACCCAACTAGCCTCCTCATTCTTCCTTCCTTACTTCCTGACCTCGTTTTTCTCGATTGCTATCTCTCTCTGCAGCTACATATTTGCCTCTCTAGATTTGATGCAATGCTTCATTTAGGGTTTCGCTCAATCCTTTACCACGGCGATACTTGCTTGGGAGAAGTCGATGTGGTCCCCCAAAATCAAAATCCCCAGATTTTATCTGCAATCAAAAAGGAAATTAGGATCAGTCACCTCACTGCTCCAAGTGAGAGGTGTCCTCCTCTTGCTGTTCTCCAGACCATCTCGCCCTTTGGTGTTTGCTTCAAACTAAAGTCGAGCGGCATCTCATCTGATCAATCGCCTATGCATTGTCTCTTCAGTGCCTGCTTTCGTGAACTCAGGGTATCCCTCTCTCTCTTACTGTATACCCAAGACTTTAACTTTTGATTGCTACCCATTATCATTCTTATTTCAAGTGCATCGACAGTACCTCATTTTTCATTTTCAAATTCCCATTCCATTGCTCATGTACTTCGTGTTCTATTACATCTCTTACATATTATACATTTAATAACAATATTGTTGGTATTTGTTTTCTTTTTGACTGCCACCCCTTATCATTCTCATAGCAATTGAAAGCAATTGTACTGACATTTCCAGGAATTCTATTTTTTGTTTTTGATTCCCATCCATTGATTGATATGCACGATGGAGTGCTCACTAGTGTTCAAACAACTAGTGGGAGACGAGTGACTTTTCAGTAACAATAGGTCTACATCAAGGGTTAGCATTGAGCCCGTATGTCTTTGTCTCAGTTGTGAATGACTTAACTAGGCACCTACGTGATGAGCAATGTTCAATAAGTTAGAGGCAGCCCTCCTAGGCGGTGTGTGGGGGAGGGGCGCTGGGCGGTGTTTTTTAATTTTATTATTATTATTTTTTTAAAATTTGGATCCCCTACACCTCCCCCCATTTTATTATATATAAAATTGTATGTTTTATTATCTAATAAGTTTGGTATGTAATATATTGGTAAGATGCCGGAAGCACATCTCAAGCCTAAACATTTAGACTGTAAATGAAATAATTTTAACTCAAATCAACATTAAAAGATAGAATGAACTAGAGATGTCATTTAAATCTTGCAAATCACACGTCACTCGGGCCAAACCAAAATGTTTGAGAATCCCAAATCTGCTCTTTTACAACCCCTATAAGCCTCAAAAAGTTTGTGGTTGATTATCCGTTAATATGGTTGATTATCCGTTAATATCGTGACCATGCGAGGATTTTGAAAAAAATTTTGATCTCTAAAAAAATCTTCAAATCTAGTTTTTTTAAAGTTGTTTCTCACTCTAAAGTTCACTAAAATTGCTTTTGGGGGCAAGGTTGGCCCCCCAACCCTTATCCCCCCTTTTAAGGGGGTAAAATGATATTTTTTGCCCCCTCCTGAAATTTTTTTCCGTTGAACCCTTGCAGGCCGCCTTTTCGACCGCCTGACTGCTTAGACAGGCGCCTAATAGTGTCCGCCTTAAGAATGCCTAGGTGTTTTCTCCAGAAGGCCGTCTAGGCGGTCGGGCGGATGACTTTTTGATCATTGAGGATGCGAATGACTTTTTGATCATTGAGGATGAGGTACCATGGTACATGTTATTTGCTGATGACATAGTTTTGATCGATGAGATCCAAAACATCATCATCACAAGGTTAGGACTTTGGAGGGGTGCTCTAGAATATAAAGGTTTTAAAATTAGCCAGACTAAGACAAGAGTATATGGAATGCAAGTTTAGTATAATAGGAGTAGAGATGAGGAAGTAATTAAGATTGACGGTCAAGAAGTACCAAAAAATATCTCACTTTCGATATCTTAGATTGATAATCCAGAAAAATAGAGAGATTGAGGAGGATGTCACACACATGATTAAAGCTGGGTGGGCGAAGTGGAGATGTGCAACTAGAATTTTATGTGATCGACGTTGCCTATGAAGCTGAAGGGCAAGTTTTATTGGACATATGTAAGACTAGCTTTGCTCTATGGGGTAGAATGTTGGGCGGACAAAAAACAATATACCCATAGAATGAGTGTAGCAAAGCTGATGAGGTTGAGATGGACGAGTGGCAAGACAAGCAGGGCTAAAATTCAAAATGAATCCATTTGGAAAAATTTAGGTGTGGCACCAATAGGCGATAAAATAAGAAAGAATAGACTTAGGTGGGTTGACTATGTGTGGCTCAAACCTAGTGCGACACCTATTAGGAGGTGCGAGTTAGTTCAAGTAGAAGGCAGAAAAAGACAAGGGGTAGGCTCAAAAGGACATGGTTGGGGGTCGTCCGAAAAGATATGGGGACTTATGACGTCACTGAGGGTATGACCCTTCATAGAGCAAAATGGCGGATTAGGATTCGTGTAATCGATCCCAATTAATTGGGAAAAGGCTATGATGTTGATGATGATTCCCATCCATTGATTATGCATATAATTTTATTTTTTTACTTCCACCAATTATCACTCTTTTAGCAATTGTAATTACATTTTTAGGAATACATTTTATTTATTTATTTATTTTTGATTCCCTCCATTCAATGTTAAAAAACTCGGAAGCTCAGGCAGGTGTCGGCCTAGGTAGTTGCCCAGAACGAGGGTAGGCTTGGCTACCGCAAATGGGTTTAGGTCCTCAGGGAGTTCTTCAAGTAGGGGTTTAGGCCCTTAGGGAGTTCTTATGGTAGTTTTAGGGCAAACCTCTAAAAATACATATCATTCATCAAATTTACGTAAAATCAAATTGATATTTGGCAAATGGCAACAAAACTCTTAAGTACATATTACATAAACTGATAAAAGAATTAATCACATAATATCACATATCATAATATCCCTAAGATTTAGTTTTCTAATCTAAATACTCACAAAATATCAATTTAATTCTAACTATTCACAAAATATAGGCCCAAATCGGTAAATATTCACAAAATGTTCCAACTAAAAACATGCAAAATAATCACAAAAAAAACCCTGATTTAAATATTGTAATCTACTAAGGTTTTCAAAATGATTTTGATACAGGTTCAAACCGGTAAATATTCAAAAAATATTTCCACTACAAATATGTAAAAATATCACAAAATAAAAGCAAAAAAATAAAAGAATATCAAATCATAACACATTATACAAAAACATATCAATCATAATTCAAACATTGTAATGCATCAACCTTTTAAAAATGAAATCTATTTTTTTTTGTTTTTTTTGGGAAGGGGGGGAATGTCGAAGTCAAAATAGGCCCTCCGCCAGGGTGCATCGAGGCGTCTAGACATAAGACGCCTAGGAAGCCTGCCTAAGAGAAGGCCGAATTTATTTTTGAACCTTTCCTCCCTTAACTAGTTTTCTTTAAAGATTACATGAAATAACAATACGCGACATTGTTAAGAACGCGTGAGGTGCTTGCCTAGGTGGGCTGCATGATTGAGGCATCGAAAATAGTGAAATTGTTTGCTTTTTTTCTTTTTTTTTTTTGGGGGGGGGGGAGTTGGGTTGTATACCAAACCTCCTAATTATACTTAATTTTAGCGTGTTTTTTGTGCATTCTTGTGTTTTCATACACACAAGTTTGAAACTCGAATTAGTAAAACTTTAGAAGATCGATTGATCAAACCTTGCCTTAACTAAAAAGTTGAACTTGAAATACAATATCACTTCAGTCTTACAACATTGTGAATATGGATGAGCGAATAACTTCTATGGGCATGATAAGCCATATAGATCATTAAATAGTTACATCGTGTGCCATACCATCTCCATCATCGCTACCAATAGTCAAAAGTAAAAAAACTTAAACAACAAAACAAGAAAGCAAATATCAAATTGCAAACTAAGATTCATTATCATCATGATTATAATCGCTACCACTATGTTCATGACCATCTCCATATTCATTACTAGCGGCATCTGGTGATTCTATGTAATCACCATTTGGAGTCATCTTCCTCCTCGACATAGTGTTCTGTTTCCTCGGAGTCAGCCGCCTCCTCCTCCTATTCCCCCCTATTGTCCTCATGCTCTTCCTTGAAGATCTAGATCTAGTGGGTTTTATGTGGCTCAATGAGCTTCTAGTAGCCTTGCAAACTCGGCCTAGCTCAAACTCTCTCCTAGCAACACTTCATCATCTCTAGCATTGACTAGCCACTCATTGAAATTATCCATATCTCTCATAGCAATGGGGTTGATATTATAGTGCTCTCTGAACCATTGATTATTTTCTTTGGGTGAATAAAATAGGGTTTATGCGTTAGAAGGCAAAAGTAAATTTGGATGATTTCTTGATTCGTGCGTGTCGTCATTGCACAGGGGCCATGCTAATCTTCTCTGTATCATTCCAATTGTATTGGATGCTTCCGAAGACATAAAAGGGTAGTACATTGCTAGAGTTTGTTCTCTTCTTTGCATGGATTTATTGGATATTGCACTAATGCATTATGTAGAAAAATATAATAAATAAGGCATGTGACGTCTTAGGACTCAACAACAATATGACAATGACTTAAGAAACTCAAATGAGCTAAAGTTGCTATCGCAATGAGATGCACTACAAGTCAAATTCAATATATCTCATCTTCTACAAGTGCTTGGCTTTTCTCCCATGTGTCGCCCACCATACAGCTACATTACATAAAATAAAAGAGTATATCATGTACTTGTAGTGGTCTTACTGAGGGTATGACCCTTGATAGAGCAGAATGGCAGAATGGGATTCGTGTAGCCGACCCTAAATAATTGGGATAAGGCGCAAATGATAAGGATGATGATGATCAATGTACTTAAGAGGTGAAATAGCAATTTAGTATATGCTAATTCACTTTGAGAAAGTAAGTACAAAAATTAGCTAGATGGATTTTATGGCCATTGAGAACTTGTGCATATTTAACTTCATTGTTGCATGGTCTTGGACTCTTATGTCATGGTTAAGTTTCATGCTGCACATATCGAATCCATCCATGATCCAACCTTGGAATCAATATCATAATCAATACAAAAAATAAGCATGGTATAAAAAAAACCCTTTGTATGCAAGGGCCTATGCCACTGGCTATTCTACTTGTCTTCCATAATCTTCAAAACACGATAGTACTTTCTCTCATCATAACCAACGTTCTTTGATATATCTTTCTTTGACTTTCCATTACCTTGTAAATGTGACCCATTGGTTGTTCCTTCTCATTATCCACCATCTACAAGATCTTTAACAATGCATCGAATACTCGAAAGGATAGACAGGCAATTCTAAAACTAATGTCCCAAAACGATATGGGTTTCTCTCTTGTTGTTTGTATGCATGGACCAATTGATTTTAGGATTTTTCTTAGCAACGCTGAAAACCGATTTGGTTTTATGCCAGGAAGGTCAACAGCTAAAGCTATTTTCCTATTTAGGCAACTGATTGAGAAGTTTAGAGCGAAGGGAAAAGACCTCCACATGGTCTTTATTGATCTAGAGAAAACTTATGATAGAGTACCTCAAGATTTGATTTGATGGGTGTTGGAAAAGAAAGGTGTCTCTAGACACAACATTGACTTGGTGAGAGATTTGTATGATGGAGTGCTACCTAGTGTACAAACAACTAGTGGAGAGATGAGTGAGTTTTCAGTGACAATAGGTCTACATCAAGGGTCAGCATTGAGCCCGTATCTCTTTGTCTTAGTTATGGGCGACTTAACTAGGCACCTACAGTATGAGGTATCGTGGTGCATGTTGTTCACAAATGACATCGTTTTTATTGATGAGACCCGAAACGACGTCAACACAATGTTAGAATTTTGGAGGGATGCTTTAGAATCTAAAGGTTTCAAAATTAATCGGACTAAGACCAAGTATATGGAGTGCAAGTTTAGTACTAATAGGAGTAAAGACAAGGAAGTAGTCAAGATTGATGGCCAGGTGATACAAAGAAAACTGTACTTTCGATATCTTGGGTCAATAATCTAGGAAAATGGAGAGATCGAGGAAGTTGTCGTACACGAAATTAGAGCTGGGTGGGCGAAATGGAGATGTGCAACTCGAATTTTATGCGATCGCCGCATACCAATGAGGTTGAAAGGCAAGTTCTATGGGACAACAGTGAAACCAACTTTGCTCTATAAGGCGGAATGTTGGGCGGACAAAGAAAATATACCTATAGAATGAGTGTAGCAGAGATGAGGATGTTAAGATGGATAAGTGGCAAGACAAGAAGGGATAAAATTCAAAATGAATCTATTTGTAATAATTTAGGCATGGAACCAATAGGCGATTAAATGAGAGAGAGTAGACTTGGATGGGCCGGCCATGTGTGGTGACTACCATGTACAACACCTGTTAAGTGGTGCGAGTTAGTTCAAGTGGAAGGACTGAAAAGAGCAAGGGATTGGCCCAAAAGGACGTGGTTGGAAATAGTCCGAGAAGGTATGGGGACTTATGGCCTCACTGAGGATGTGGCCTTTAATAAAGCTGAATGGAGAACCAAGATTCATGTAGCTGACCCCAATTAATTGGGAAAAGGCTAAAATGATGATGATGATGTTGTTTAACGACGAATATGGTTTTGAGCTTGCTTTTCTGGGCCAATATTACTGAAGTGACAAATAAGAAGTGAAAAACCTCGTCACCCCTGATCTCACCAACTCCCTCTTCTTTGAGAACTTCATTATCATGTCCAGGACTTGTGTGTTGTTGTATATGAAAGCCATGATGACTCCTGCTTTCATGATTGTTGAGTCCACAACTTTTGATTTACTTATCATCTCAAACATGAGGTCAATGCAATGCATAGTGCATGATCTCCAAAAAATGCGTGGCCTCTTCTCTAACAATAGATTAGCATCTGACATGTTGGGTGCTGCTATATTTGTAATTACTTGAATGATATACTTCCCACCCACATCCTCTATATACTTGGCTTCTTTATTAAAATTGAACTCTACATTGTGAGTTTGCTCTGATGCACTGATGTACTTTAAAGACATAGTCGTTATTGGGTTATTCATAATACAATGGATGATACTTCTCCCACTTGTATTAATCCACGAGTCTGTTATCATTGTGACCTTTTCCCCATGCATCCTTATGACCTTCAAATACTCATTTGTGAGATCCCTCTTTTTATGAAGTAGGGTTTTCTTGAGCTCATAAGGTGCAGGGGCCTTCAATCCAAGCCCAAACTGCCCCACTTCTTCCAATATTGCTTGGAATTGTTCAAGAAATTGCTGAGTCGACTAGCACACGGGTGAGCCTACCAAGCCCGGAATCATCACCATCATCATAGCCTTTTCCCAACTATCTGGGTCGGCTGCACGAATCTTGGTTCGCCATTCTGCTCTATCAAGGCCATTCCTTCAGTGGGGCCATAAGTCCTCATATCTTTTTTCACTACTTCAAACCATGTCCTTTTGGGCCTATCTTTGGCCTTTTTTGAGCCTTGCACTTTGAACCAAACCCGTAATAGCGTAGATATATGTACCTTCTACAATACTTAGGCGATTACTATAGAGACTCGCCCTAATGCTACGACTCTTGGAATGAATAGCCCAACATCTTGCAATACTGGGTGAATCTATGCAGTATTCACCAGTGCTGTTAAAAAAGTAATTTAAATGGGGAAATTGCCCCCCCTTTCCTTTCTTAGTCTTGTAAAGAGATAGAGAGAGGGGAGAGAGAATGATGGTGATAATCATTGTGAAGAGAGCGGGACTCCATCTCTTTTACAACCAACGGGGAACTTCTCTTCGCTTTTTCTATTTTTCCTTTCTTAGTCTCACAAAGAGAGAGGAGAGAGAGGGAGCGAGAGAAAGCGAGAGTGAGAGTCGATGCAAAGAGAGTGGAGACTCCATTGCTTTAACGGAGAGACTCTGCTGCCTTTTATAATCAATGTGGATTATCTCCCTGCTTTATAACCATTGGTATAATGCCACATGGCATAAACCAAAAAAGTAAATTAAAGAGTCAATGTGATATGCATGTGTGAATGAGAGAGAGAGAGAGAGAGAGAGAGAGAGAGAGAGAGAGAGAGATAAGACTCTTCTCCTTAAGAAAATGTGAGACTGTGACCTTCATAACCAATGGAATAATGCCATTTGGTAAACCAAATAAAGGAAATTAAAAATATTTGACTGGTTACATGGGAGAATGACTAAAATACTCTTTTTAAGGTGTTTTTGTCCTTGTTACCAAAATTGTCTCCATGTTGGAAATTTATAAATGTTTTTTTTTATTTATTATTCTTAGGGTTTTTATAAAAGATGAATTTTCTATTTGAGGTTGAAGAATGGGTGTTTTTAGCCTTTTCATTTTCTAGGGATTTCTAATTATTTTTTTCCATATTTTGGGCTTTTTGGCCCCTTTTCACGGTCCGGGCCTGACTTGGGCGAGTCTGACTCGACTTGCCTGACCATATGGCTTGGCTAGCCCAATTCATGTTCCCAATCTGTTTAATGAAACATTTCTTAGAAGCTCTTTGAGCTTGTGGATTGAATGAAATGCCCACTTGGTATATCCGTTGAGCTATGTAGTTGACATACCAGACTCCTATCTTCCTTCTTAAGCGGGTCTGTCTATTGTTTTGCTCATCTCTAACCGCACCCTCAGGAGTGGGGTAAAATAAGAATCATTAGGCCCCTATACTCGAGGCTTCTTCCGCCCAAGCCCTCTTTTCCTAGTATATCTACTTGAGCCCACCTCAGGCTCCCCTTCTTCAATATAATGATATTCTTCTTCTGCTCTAAAAACATTCATTGACTTCATAGTATCCCCATGTTACTGTTTCTCTTCTTTTTTTGGCCCACGTCCAAATTTTCCAACATTTCTCTGGTAATATTGGGCGGAGCACATGCTGGTCAAATCTTCTCTTTGTATACCAGCATACTGCCCTTTTCTTTCATTTTTATTGGGCAAAATGGCATATTTCTAACCTAAACCTAAACAGAGGGCAAATAAATACAAACCGAAACTCAAAAAATAAAATAAAACAGAAACCATTCTTTTTTTAAAAAAATCGATTTATCCAATTTTTATTGATAAATCCTAAACCAAAATTAAAATGCACTTTCCTGTTGAAGCTGGCTCGAATCAGTTAGCTTTGGTTGCAAAAACACCTCTTTTGTCACCTCTTCAAGTCGGACAAACTTTTGTTCATTCTGATATCCCAAGAATTCGAAAGCATCTAGAAACTTGCCAATCTTCACCCAAAAAAACAGAAAAAAAGAAAAAAGAAAAAAAGAAAAAAAGAAAAAAAGAAAAAAAGAAACAAAAGAATCCTGAATGTTGTTTTTCCAAGGGCTTTGCTCTATCAAATGGCTTTTCTATGGGTTTTTGGGAGGTTTAGAATACTCCTCTAAAACCTTTTCCTCCTATGCCCTTAGCTGAGGGCCTTTTTCCACCCTCAGGCAAGGTTGTCAAGGTGCCACCTTGGCCCAACATTGTTTAGTGCCATATTTATATATTTGATTTTTTTTCCCTCCTAACGCATGACATACAATTAATGTTTATTTTCATTTTGAAGACCAATCATTGTTCTAATAAGGGTGAGGACCTTAAACTTTCCCTTAACCCGTCCTAACCTCCAGTAAAGGAGGTGGGTTGTACTAGGTAGGCAGCCAGTGTAAAACTTTGCTATATCTTATCATGAATCGTGATGGTGACTAATCATTACTAATTTTTATATTGCAGACTGCTGTTGTATTGTTTGGTGAAGATGAGCTTCATTTAGTGGCAATGCAGAACAAATTGGAGAAGTTTTCATGCTTTTGGGCTTTCACTGTTTCTCCAAAACTCTATGCTTCTTGTTTAGCGATGCTAAATCTTAGATGCCTTGGCATTGTATTCGATCTCGATGAAACACTTATAGTTGCAAATAGCATGCGATCTTTTGAGGATCGGATTGATGCCTTACAACGTAAAATTGGCACTGAAACTGACCCTCAACGAATATCTGGAATGTCTGCTGAAATCAAGAGGTACCAAGAAGATAAAGCTTTATTGCGCCATTATTCAGAAAATGATCAAGTATTTGAAAATGGGAGGTTGGTTAAGGTCCAGATGGAAGAAGTTCCTCCGTTGTCAGATAATCACGAAGCTGTTGTTCGTCCGGTTGTTAGGTTACATGAGCGGAACATTGTCTTAACACGCATTAACCCCGAGGTAAGAGTTTTTTTAGTTCTTTCATCATTTTGACAAATTAGAGGAAATTCTTTGCTTTTCGTTGTTGTTCTTATATATATGCTACTGTTTCTAAAATAATTTCTGCCAATTTTAACTTATCCCCCACCTAGCCACCCGCAAAAAGGCGGGAAACAAAAACTGGTGTATCTTCTAACAGAAGGGCTTCAACCTTTTAAAGAAAACTTGTGTTTACTAATTCTTTTAGTCTCACTGATCTGCTAATTCTTTTTATTCGTGAATTTGTGTTTATTTGGTTGGGAGTTTTCTTAGTGACTTTTCTATTACCATTTTTTTTCCTGATGGTACTTGTACTGTACTTACCATGGCATTATAATTCATTCTTATCCACTTTTTTCATCATTATAAAGGATGTTTCTCCCTATGCTTAGATGGGCCTGATTGAATGCATTTGTGTTATATTTATTGAATGATCGAGACACACTTAAATTTGAAAAAAAAAATCGATATAAATGACATGTGTGTATACATATGTACATGAGTATGCAATGAGTGTGCTTCATGTCATTGATTTATTTTTGTTAACAATTTTCACATTTTCCTCAAACTATGGTATTTAAAGTTCACTACCAATAGTTATGAATGCAATGCAATGCATGCGCTATTGGGTAGTTTTTTTTTTTTTTGGGAGAAATGCTGTCTGGTTTTTTAAATAAGGGTAGCTTATTTATTCGATTTCCTTGTTGGCTGTTAGTAAATTGCTATCCATGAAGTGCCTCTTTCTCTTTGTCCTATTTTTTTTATTTTTTATTTTTATTTTTGGGATGTTTTCTAGGTAAGATTCAAACTTGGGAAGTGGTCTCATACCGTCAACCCTTTATTCAACAACTAGGCCGAAGCCCAATGCCCATAGAGTTCTATTCTCATTGTGGGTTTGTTTTTTCTTTTTCCTATTTGTGCGGATATACAATCTAACACTTCTATATTTCCTTAATCTCCTTATGTAGTGATCATTTAGTTTTAAACTCATATTTTGCCTGGCTCCGTCCTTGCTCACCCCGAAATGTGGCCAGTTATTTATTTGATGGCTTCTGGTATATGAGTTTTTCCTTTCTAACTTAGGATTGCAAGATGTAATAGAGTCATGTCTGAGAATACCTAGCTTGCCTTAAGCAGTGTTATCCCTGACACTTTTTTTTCCTTTGTGCCGTGTGGACACGTCAGCACATGTGGACATCCTCAACACGGGGTAGACATGCTGGTTGTACGTGTCCATCCTTTTGAGGTATTGGAACACCATGTCCAATACTTTTGGCAGAGGTGTCGGCAGGTGGCATGCCCTTCATATGGTTGAATCTAAAAAAATGTATAGTATCTCAGATGAGCCTTGAACATGGAACCTCTTGACCAGGCAGTTAACTACCATGCTTCTCAATGCCTTTGTGACTTAAAGGGCAACTTTAACATTAATAACATCAAGAAAATATCTTTTTAAAGTTAACCTTTCCTCAAAAAGAAAATATCTTTTTAAAGAATAAAAGAAGACAAATAGAAATATTTTAATAGCTTTATTTATTTTCCAAGAACTAGTGTATGACCCTTCCAAGCTAATGACTGTTAGTGTATAAATTTTGAAAGTTTTATTATTGACGGCCACTATAGTTTCTATAAAGTGTACACAAAATGTATAATTTTTCTAAATAAAACATATTAATTAAAAATAGTCTTTTGTTTTTTTAGATTAAATAAAGTATTTTCTTTTAGATTAAATAACGTTGTCTTTAAATTTTATGCTTTTGTATATCTAATTAATAATTTTATATATACTATATCTAATTAATAATTGTATATATATGCATATATGTAGTTGTATATATGTATATGCATATATGTGTGTAGGCATGTGTGTGTGCGCATCTATGTGTGTATTATGTGCGTGTGCATGTATGTGGGTGGTATTATGTGTGTGTGTCACGCATGTATGTGTTTGTGTGCGTGTGTGTTTGCGTGCTGACTCTGCAAAATGCTTATATGAGACAGCAACCTTACTTGCAGAACTAGGTTGCAGAACTTGCAGTAATCAATTCCTTTCCAATTTAGTTGGACAGTGTAGAACATTGAAACCGTACTTCTACAAGTAAGATTATGGCTTTAAATGAATTGCCTAATATGCGTGTGTGTGGTGTGCATGTGCTTGCATATGTATGGGCATGTTGGGACTGACGTTTTTGAAAAAGTCAGGGCTATACTGACTTTTTGATGTTAAGTACTTCACACATAAGACAACATACTAGACACTCACACTGCAACCTGTATGACAATGTCTGTGTAACACTGGCCTAAAGTACAAATGGACTGAACTTAGAAAAATTGCAGATCCGTGACACTAGTGTGCTTGTAAGGTTGCGTCCTGCATGGGAAGATCTTAGAAGTTATTTGACTGCTAAAGGCCGTAAGAGATTTGAGGTTTATGTTTGCACGATGGCTGAAAGGGATTATGCTCTTGAAATGTGGAGGCTTCTTGACCCTGAAGCACATCTGATAAATCCGAAACAACTTCTAGATCGTGTAGTGTGTGTAAAGTCAGGTAAAATTTTCTCTTTCCCATTAAATTTTCTTGAATAAGTTAGTTTTATTAAACTTATCAGCTTTAAAATATTCTGGAAAAAAAAATTCTTCTGTTACTAGGAACGCCCAGATTTTCATCTGTTTAATATTCATGATTGTGAATTATGACCATTATTTTTACTTTCTGTTGATTACTATCTAATTTGGTAGGTTCAAGGAAGTCTTTGCTAAACGTCTTTCAAGATGGAATCTGTCACCCCAAGATGGCTATGGTGATTGATGATAGGTTAAATGTCTGGGAGGACAAAGACCAATCCCGAGTCCATGTGGTCCCCGCATTTGCTCCATACTATGCTCCACAGGCTGAGGTGAATATTGACTATCTATGTATATCTGCATCTACATTTTTCCTACTTATTATCAGTTATATTATAAGTGTGTGGATTTATTGGTTGAAGGATCCTCTTTTCATATATTAATTATATTCTGCAATGTTTTTTATTACAGGCTACAAATGCTGTTCCCATCTTGTGTGTTGCAAGAAATGTGGCATGCGATGTTAGAGGTGGCTTCTTCAAGTAAGTGGACCTAATGCATCTATATTGCAGAAAAGCATTTACAATGGTTAAGGCTCTGTTCATGAAGTCATCTTGAAGTTTAATGTATGACTTCCGTATGTTGTAGTTCTCATATTTTATTTTTTTATTTTTTCACTGAATCATGGAGTGAAAACAATTTGGCAGAGAATTTGACGAGAACATTTTACGAAGAGTTTCCATTATGTATTATGAAGACAATGTAGCGGATTTGCCTTATACCCCTGATGTGAGCAACTATTTGATACCCGAGGTAAAGAAGGATGAATGTGGCCCTCAATTTTGGTTTAAGTAGTTCATTTTCTTCATGAACATCGCATCTTGGGTTCTTAAGGTACTCATTTTTAATTTATCTTTCCAACAAATGGCTAGGATGCTGGTGCTGTGATGACTGGAAATAGAGAGCTTCCCATTTCTGAGGGCATGAATGATATGGAGGTCGAAAAGAGATTGAATAAACAAGTGGGTCACTTATCTTTATGGTCATCTTTTTATTTATTTATTTATTTTCCATTTTTTGTTAGCGGAACTTGTGAAAGTCCTCATACTTTCATCATTTTGTGTTGATGATATTTTGACGCATTGATGGGAATCTTTCTTGTAATTCTCACATTTTGAGAGTACATTCACATTCAGGATGAGAACCCAAGTGCTGAAGGAACTCCTCGTCCTTTTGTTTCCAACCATCAAGAGCTTCGAGAATCATCTCTACAAAATGCAACATTTCAATCAATTCCAGCTGGACAAGCGATTTTGAGAACCCCCATATGTTTGCAGAGTGAGCAACTCTTCCATTTTACTTTATCCAATATTTTTAATTACTATGACCTTCTCAGCCTTTGGCTTCTTGATGCTTTTTGGGCTCTTCTGTTATTAAAGAGGGAGAGGCTTTCATGTCAGAGTTGGGCCTTGACATGAGGAGTTCCAACATGGACCTTAGGATCAACCCTTTTGGTCCTTGTTCATTGAGACCACCAAAGTGTTGATGCTGGTAATACAATTATATAGAAGATGGTTTTTGCAGAGGAAGAGATGAATCAGAAGCAACTGAGCAGAAGAACCGAATGTGTCCCACAAGAACCAAATGGATTTCAGCTTGAGAAGCAACGGCCTCTTCGTGCTCTGTCATGTCGTGGTGTAGAGGGTACTGCTCCCTATGACAGATCCCTTCAAAGTTCTCATGCAACAATTGAAGAGGTTTGAGTTGAACTAATCTTCCTTGGGTCTCTAATGGGAATTATTTCTTGTAATTGTAGAAAGGGAAGATATCAAAACAGTGTGCAGAGCACCTGCATAAAGTTTTCCCAATTGACTATGTTACTTCCACTCTTTTAGGAAGGATAAGTGAGGGCATTTGAGTAAAATGACCATAAGATAAAGTAAAGAAAAAGTGACCCTCAACCTTCCAGATCATTTTCTTGAGCATGTAAATGATTTGTGTGGGTGCTTCAGGCACTCTTTTGATCTTCTTCATTTACACCCTACAGTTCTTACTTGTTGCCAGAGCTCAACTAGATTATGTTTATCTGCAGCAATGTTCTGGTGATGATAGGTTAAGACAGAATCACATGCAGTCGAGTATCTCTTCCTTTTCAGGTAGTCACACTATAGGAACTTATTGCAACAATGCAGTTTACCAATAAACTTGCTTATCTAATGTGATAATGACATGGTTCTCTGAAAAGAACCCACACGCCTGTTGCATTTAAAGACCTTTGAGACCATTTACTTTTCTTTCCGTGTAATTTTGATTGTTGTATGGATTTGTCTCTTCTTTTCATCTCTCTCTCTCTCTCTCTCTCTCTCTTTGTGTATATACACCCACATATATATTTTTTCAACTTTCTGATAAAGCAATCTTTTCTATCTTGATGACTGAAATATTGTTTGGAAGATGAGGAAATGCCTTCAAGTCGGGAAACCGTGAACCCTAAAGATGTGGTGGCTGAAGAAACATCGTCAGTGCCTGTTGCAGTTCTACGAGAAATTGGATCAAAGTGCGGTTTAAAGGTATGCAGATTGCAAACCTTCATGAAACATGTTTATAGAATTTGTCTTGATCTCATAGAACCAATATTGTTTTGTAGGTTGAGTTCAAATCAGTTTCAAATACTACCACTGGATTGCAGTTTGTGGTAGAGGTTAGTGTATGCAGATACTTGGTTGCAAATTTTTTCGAGAATAAACATGCACTTGAAGTTTTGCTTGTAAGCTTTATTCTCATCTCTTTTTAAATTAAGCAGTAACTATCCCTTGTCACTGAAGTTAACTTTTATAAAAAAAGAAACCATCCCTTGTAACTGTAACTGACAACTCTCTTGCCCTTCCCCTTTCTTGATACTTCCATCATATGTGTCTATGTTCATTTGCATGCAAGTTTGATGTATATGCCCATATCTGAAGTTAGATGTAACAACAAATTAAAATGAAAGGAAATCATCAGGGCAGAGACTGGATCAACTGGATGGATGATGGAGGTGGTCTAGAAACTTTAAATATCAGAACAGCATTGTGATCATTGTTACATGGTTATGGATACGAGTGTCGTGTCTAGTAATTTGGCCAAAAAACTCCGTACAACCTCAACACTCATACACACTCTCTAATATATAACTTGAAAATATAAATTCATTTTATTCAAAAAAGATAAAAAATAGTTCTTTCTATTTTTTATTTTCAAAATGATGTGTTCAAAACCTTATTTGATAATATTTTTCTTACTGTTGTCCATATTTTTGGTAATTGTGTTAGTAGAACTATTTATATCTTCCTATAATTAACCAAGCTCAACAATACACACCAAGTATAATTTGCATTTCAGAATATATTTTAAAATTTAAAATAATGTTAGTATAAATTTTTTGACATTTCTTTTCACAAAAAACGTTGTCATGTATTAAGTTGTATTTTTAATAAAATAAGGCTTCTATTAATAGCTATTATATAATTATTTGTTTTCTACCATTTTATACCTGTGCTTGCTTGGCGTGGCGGTAGCGTTTACTTTTTCATCATCCAATGTCACAAGTTCCATTCTTCTTCCTCGTAATTTCATTTTATAGCAAATTTGAAAAGCCCATTTCAAATTTAAAAAAGTCGAGCCTGCTCATATCGAAATTAAAAAAGTAGGCAAATTTAAAAAAAGGGAAAGGTTTCCATACTGCCCTACTGTGTAGATGTTCTATTACCCCCCCATCCAGCCGTCCAATTTAAGATCAAATAAGCCATTGGTCATTTGATCTAGATCCAACACATTAGAGTATTTCATTTTTAGTTTTTATTTTACGAATTACATGAATATGAAATTTGGTACGTGCCAACATCTCAATGGGGCGCACTTAAAAAAAAGATTTTTGATATAATAAAATGACCAAATTCAGGGGTATTTTTTGGTTATTTATTTTATCAGGAATATTGTTTTTATATTTTTTGCAGGTGTGAGTTTAGGAGAGTGAGTGGATGCCCAAAATTTGGTGTCAAAATGTTTTGTGGAAAAAAATTTAAAATAAAACAGTGTAGGGGCGTGACATTGTAATTGGATCCATCTCAACTATTCATTCAGATCTGAAGGCTAGATAAGGGGAAGTATATAACTACTATACATTAGGGGAAGTATAGAAAACTTGCCCCTTAAAAAAATTCCCATTTTAAATTTCGAAAAGTGCATATGACGGGATTGGATACAGGGTCCTCTTGGAGCAAAACGGTAAGGTCTACCATGTTGGCTAGGAGTTTACTACTGTTAAGTAACGATGACTCTTTATATACAAGCGTTGATATGTACCAGGTCTCTATAATAGTGTTGTTGTATTCGGTTCGCTTCGAACGAAGCACCCGAAGTCTTCGGGTTTTCCCTGGCCACCGAAGCAAAGCGAATAACCACATGTTTTGGCGCAATATTTTGCCATTCAAAACGAAATTGTGGGTGTCCTTAACTTTTCGAGCATAGAGTAATATGAGGCGCGTGTTACACCAGGACCATTGCCCATGTGGCTGTACCCCTCGTCCGTTAGTCATCCTCTTCCACAAGTACGACCTTTGCTTTTATTAAAACAAAACAAGACTATTGCCCATCTCTTTTGTCTTTGTAAAATTCCACTATTATCCTTTGCTTTTATTAAAATAAAACAAGTTGATTATCAAGCCACCTCTTCATCATGTGAAAGGACGGTTATGTCCTCACACAATATAAATTGAATGTCTTTTTTTCTGTATTTTTTTAATTTTTTGATATTTTAATTTTTTATTATTTTAATATATTATATATATAAATGTATATTTTATTTATATTAAATTAAAAAAAGAAGTCCAAAGTCTTCCCTCGAATTGGCCGAAGCACCAAATGCTTCATTTTTTTGACCAAACCGAAGAAGACTCCGAAGCGAATCTGACAACTTTGCTATAACATCATCGACACATACTACTAGTGTGTCGAACATCGGTCTGGTTGTGTCGGCATGTGTCTACGGTCGGCACTCTTTGACATGCGACACAAGAGAGGAGATGGAGTGTCTATGTAATACTTATTTTGACCTTCAAATTTTTTTAGGGAAATTTATTAAAATGCCTGTAAGAGATGAATTATTTTACATTCTACCTATTTGCTACTATTCCAACTGAAGATCATGATGGGTAAGATCTTAAATGGTTCATCTCTGATGGGTAATTTGAGAAATTTCCCTTTTTAATTACTATTTCACCGCCCATGTTGGGGGTTAAATATTGAATTTCACAAAGAAAGAGACCATTCAAGGTTCTGTTGTGACATTTCAAGTTTCTGTTCCAGATGTCTGACATACTGTTCATATATTTTCCTTAACCTAAAACTTTCGTATGTGCAAAGAGTTATATCTAGTTCGTCATACTTAAAAAAATCGTGTTTTTGTTATTTAAAGTTCTATTTTTAGATAGAAGTGTTTTTGTCACCTTTCTAATATATATTGCTATATGTGACAAGGCCACTTCAGGTTTCATAGTTCTCTTGTTGATAGATGAGAATGTTGCAGTCACTGTTTATCTCAAACTCATAAAAAAGCTACTTGTTTATTTCAGGTAGTGTTTACTGGGGAAAAAATTGGTGAAGGTACTGGTAGAACGAGGAAGGAAGCTCAGCACCAAGCTGCTGTGAATGCCCTTCGAACTTTAGCTTGTAAGAACCCTTTTGCTTTTGAATAGATCATTGTAGGCTTTAGTTTGTGTCACTGTTTATTCATGAAACACAATATGCTAGTTGCTTGTGCATAACTATGTTGAAAAAGAATCTTGAAGTAAACCCATTTTGTTTCTGAACGGATTATTGTAGGCTTTAGTGTGTCACTATTTATTCATGAAACACCATATGCTAGTTGCTTGTGTATAACTATGTCGAAGAAGAATCTTCAAGTAATCTTTCTTGCCTTACATCTCTCTATTAGTGATTGCTATCATATTAAAAAATAGACAAGATCTGGAATAATACAACAATGCCAAAGGAAAGGTATCCCGTAGTGCAATGCACATGGTATGTGGTACTCCTAGTTACTTCCCTTTGATGGATGGCTAGAGAAACTGTGCCTGGGTGAATATATGTGGGCTCCATCCAATTTATCTCCATAATATGGTACCTTATGAAGCTTCCGGTGATTCTTCTTGTGGTGCTTTGCAACAATTTGTTGTTCAGTTCATACTTTTTCATTTATCTGTATTCAATCAAAGAAGCGAATGTCAATGGACAGAAGTGAACAAATAGTTCATCAATTTTTCATACTTACCAATGTTGTCAGATTCTCTTCGTCGTCTTCTTCGATTTGGTGAGAAAAATGAAGCAATTCGGTGCTTCGGCCGATTCAGGGGAATACTTTGAACTTTTTTTTTAATTCAATATAAATAAATTAGATATTTATTAATTTCATATAAATAAATTTGATATTTATATATAACGCATATAAAAATAATGAAAAAAATAAAAAATAAAAAATAATTTTATATAGATATTTCTTTTCTGACTGAAGCAGACCGAAGCGGCCCGAATCTGACGAAAGCGGCAACACCACGCTTCTCTTCGCTTCGGTTTATGCTTAAAATCCTTAGGCTTTGGCCTCTTCGGCCGAAGCGAAGTGAATTTGATAACATTGGCATGTACTAGGCGGGTGTTATCTTATTTCATTACATTTGAGGTATTTCAAGATGGCTTTCTCTGAGTAATCTATTTGAATTTTTTTTGTGGGATCATCATATTGTTTTTGGAGTGGTTTGCTTTTCTAAGCTAATCTTGCAAACTGGGTGTGAGGGTCATCATTTCCCTGTATACAATATCATTTTAGTGGGTCACATGTGGAAAATCAGGGAACTGCCTTTTCTTATCAATGCTTGTTTTGATTACTCGTTAGATACTGAAGAGAGTCTGTTTAATATGAAAAAAATGCTCTTTTAACAGTCAAACGGAGCTGTAACACTTCAAGTTGTTGCCTTTGCAGACAAATATGTCGAACACATTTCACCTGATTCTGGAGCTGTTAATGGGGATCTTAATAACCTTTCTCATGGAATGGATAATGGTTTTTTAAGAAACGCACTTGGTTCATCTGGATCTGAATCATCTCCAAGAAAGGAGCCTCAACTGAACGAACAGTTAAATTTCATGGAGGATTCCAAAAGGGCGCCAAATTCTATCTCTGCCCTTCAAGAACCAGTGAGCGGCCATGATTAGACATGAAAATGTCATGTATTTTCCAGCAAGTTCGAGATTAAATTAGTTCTCTGCTATGTATTAACAGGATGCAATAATTTTCATTTCAGTACACATCGGAAAGCATTAGTCTAGTTTTCCATGATAAGTCTCCTTTATCCACTTATTCAAATAAAACAGAGTTCCATCCTCAGGTCAGGTATGCTCCGAACTTTACTTTGCTGAGAAAATTTATTTATACTTTGTGGGGAGCTTATATTTCTTTGGCCGTAGTTGCCAATTAAAACCTGGCACCTCTGAATTGGTTATTGTGAACTTGTGTATACAATAAAATGTGAAAAATTATGCAATATGCTCAATAAGTACATGAATCTCTGTAAGAGAGCTTTTGTTTATTTCACTTTTTGCAATATGAGGGTATTTTTAAAGGAACTTTTTTCTTTTCTGTAGCTTTTTTCTTGTAATTGATGTTTTACACCAAAAAAAAAACATATGAAGTCGTTTATAAAAATATTTGTTGATGGTCTATTTTTCCCCTCTCTTTCAGGGCATTTGATTTGGGTAATAACCGTAATATCATGAGAGTGCACTGTTTGGGAAAGAGTTGACTATTGTTTTCTCTTGTGAATTTATGCTAGGCGGAAGTAGCTGGACAGATTTTACGAAATGGAATGGGTTTAGGCAGTGAAAGGGTTAAACTGCAGGTATCAAGTTCTTTTCTTCTCATTGTATTTCAGTCTGTATGTATAAGTTTTATGAGCCATATGTGTGATTAAACTTTATAATACTTAATATTACATTCTAAATTTGAAGGCATTTAGGTTTGTTGTTTCTTGTGAATCTGATTAGATATTTAAGTTCTAGAGGAGCATTCTTTAGCGATCACTGCTCTCAATTAGATATTTTGTTTCTTTACCAAATAAACAATATATATTTTATTTCTTAAGTTGAAACATGCATAAGTATTTAAGTTGAAGCATGTTCATGTTCCAAGTGCAACATAGTATAATAGGGGTGCTGTTATTCACATGTTTCTGGGTTCAAGACATCTTTGGAATCCACTATTTGAAGTTTTAAGTTATTTTATACTCCAACAGTGAATTTATATTAATGGATGTTAGTTTAACTACTGTTTAATTATGTAATCAATCGGCTTCAATCAATTCAGTATGTAGCAATCTATGATGACTTGTATTGGAGGCTGCCAGTCAGAAATTTTTATATGAAGAGATTTATCGATAATATGTACAGATGACTTATGTTTCTTGATCATCAGATATATCTAGGAACTTTTTGGAATCTATTTTGAGATAGGTATGAACAATATGTGCAAATGAGTGATATATCTAGATCATCAAATCTTTTCTGAGAATATATCGGAAAAGTAATCTCTTGGTAGATTTTCCCAAGTTTGGGATTCTTAGGGAAATCCTTGGAGGTATTTATTAAAAAAAGTAACAAATACAGAAACAATACAACAAAAAGAAAAAGCAAAATACAAAATAAAAAGTAAAACTATAAAAAAGTCGAAGGATGAATTTTATAAGTTTATTGTAATGGTACTTTTGTGACTTCTTAAGCAAGGATTTACTGGAAACATAAGAGGATTGTGTTAAGAATGACCAACATAACTGCATTGATGTTGATATCTAAGTAAACTAAAAGTACTTGTTCATGCATGAGAGATGAGGCTTGGATAAATCCAGACTTCCTATGAACTTGTGATGCACAGATGTTCAAGGGTATCACTTCGAAATCCCAATCTCTTATATACAAGTGACTCTATACTGAGCAATTTCTCTACTCAATTTGTATTGTCTTTATGGGCCCCTATTACAACCCGTAGGAAAATGGATGATGCTAGAAACAAGGAGTGGTTATGGATTTGGTTGGACTTTGTACGAGGCATGTTTTGGTTTTGAAGGCATGCTTTTATTATAAGTTACGACAAGAATGTTTCCTGACTAAATGATATTTCACTTAGAAGAATGTTTGAATTTTGAAAAGTGAAACTTAGACATGGTCCCCAAATGAAACTGAGTTACATGCGACAACCTTTAAGGCCTTTTTCACTTTTTTTTTGTGAAATAATTTTAAGCGAATCTGACCTAAAATATAAGCATTCTTATTATTATTTTTGGATGTAGAAGCATACCCTTATTAGTGACTGCAAAATGTAACTTTCCTGAGGATGCCATGTAGAAACATACCCTTAAAGCATTTGATGGAACGTAGAGGATGCCATGTAGAAACATACCCTTAAAGCATTTGATGGAACGCAGAGGATGCCATGCAGTTTCTTTCTCAAATAGGTGTCTCAAATTCACTAGTTGCTAACTCCTTTTTTCTTTTTAATATTCTTGTTGCTTATTTAAAGATGACATTGCGTATGTCAGGCTGCTGAAGAGGGTCGTCAGAATTTACAAGCTCTAACCAATAGAAGAAACCAGTGGTTACGGTCACTTAGGTAATCTTATAGTTATTCATCACTGTTTCAACTTTTTATTATAGCAAATTATCTCGTAAATCCCAGTTATTAAAATATGCTTGTTTCAATGACTTTGTGAGTGCAATCCATAAATATTGATGATTGAATATAGGTAAAAATGTTTGTGCTTCTTACTTGTGAATGCAATCCATACAATGGTGATTGGATATGATTCATAATCTGCTTGGAATTCATTTCTTGATACTTAAAAACAATAGTAGAAGTGTTGAATTATTTTTATTTTTAATGATTATATTGTTGGCAAATAATGGAAAAATAATTTTCTTTTTGAAAAGTAGATTGTTTTCATCAACTCCTAAGATAGATTGTGGGGGAATTAATCGATTTGAATGCGTATCCAAAATCTTGTTTATTATCAAAGAAGCAATTTCTATGTGGTCAATGTTTGAAAAAATGTGCTTTCTCAAAAAAAAAAAAAAAAGAAAAAAGAAAGAAGAGAACTTTCTCAAAAAATTGTTTGAAAATATTATCCTAGACGCAATAAAATGAATTTCCTTTATAGATATCTACGATTTGGTTTTATAGAATCTGCCAAGAAAATTTCACTTAGTTTTCTTTTTCGAGTGTGATGCATGAGGTTAAATTTAGAAAAAAATTGTATTAATTTCCAAGAAAAATTAATTCTTTCCAATCCCATGATCTCTGATGTATGGCTGTAAATTTTGTAAAAAACATTTTCTAACAAATAGGAGAAAATTAATTGATTTTAATCTCTTGATCCTAATTCAGGTCCCAAAATTCTGTTCCTACAAAAAGATCACAATAAGGTAGGGTTTCTCATGAAAATGAGCGTCCAGGATGGTGACAAGTGGCATGATCATGAGAGATAATTGCTTCATTTTCTAACAGCCAGTTGTAATTGTAAAATTCAAGTTATAAGGGACCCTTGAGAATGGGTCCAGCTCCTTTTTTCTATTGGCTCAGGTCTCGTTATTTGATTTTCTTGATATCCATTTCTTTTTTTTTTTGTTTGTATTTTAACTATTAAGGAAGCACAGGGTTGGCTGGGCCAACCATCTGCCCAATGGGAGGATGGCCTCGTAGCATCTGAGCCGCTGTTCCATTGTTGTTTCTTATTAGAATTGCTTGATTAGAAAGCTTTTTAGCCTCAACATTGGGTATGATCTCTCTCTCTCTCTC